GCTCAGCTTTCTCCCACATCATTCTCGCTGGTGGATTGGAGCCACCCACTTTTAGGTTGGCAGCACACAATCCCTATTCGCTAGGTCACCAATTTGTACGTACTATGAAGGTGGCACCAACTCAGAGCTGACATTCCTAGGGTTTTCAGAGACAGTAAATCACACAGGAGGAGAATGCCCATCCTTCTCCCACTGGGTAGCTGGTGGATTCGAACTGTGTGCTTTTATGTTAGCAGTGCAACACCTCACCATCAAGCTACCAGAGCTCCCTAAGGCCATCACAGTTCCCTATCGATGCTGGAAAGCTCAAAAAGAATTCATTATCATTGAGTTGAAACTGGTTCATACCTGACACTCCAGAGGGTTCACTGCCCATCTTTCTCCAGTGCAGCAGCTGGTGGATTTGAACCACCTGTCATTGTGTTAAAAATACAGCATTATGGAAGTCTCTTAGACTTATTTGAAAGAGATCCCTTCCACAAGGCCACTTGAAATGAAGTACCTGTAAAAGCCAATCTTTCCATCATGCACTCGGCGTACTCACTTTTTTTTGCCAGAGGAAAGCAAAACAAAAATGGTGACACAGCACACACAGGTATCAATGAATGACCAAACCACCTAGGCAGGCTTTAATTTACACCTGCTGGCATCCTGGGGAGGGCAGAACTGACAGAAAACAGCTCAACCAGGATGAGCTTCATGCTAACCATAATCGGAAGAGTCTGGGTGTAAGACCTGTGGAGGAAGATCAAACCCAAATCTCAACGCTTGCCTTCGCAAACTTGAAGATCTTATGCAGAGACAACTTTGAAATCAAGACAGTGTGATCATGTGATCACTCTGGCTTTTATGATATTGGATATCCAAAGCAGAAATGTGACCAATGTCCAATTATCAAGTTTGTGTTTGCAAATTTCCCTTTGACATTGTGACAAGGTCCCTGCAAAGCAAGGGGACAAAAGTCAAGACAGTCCTGAGTTTAAAAATGGGTCGAATGAGACTGAGGCTTGACACTGAAAGGCCGTGGCTGTATTTGGTAAAGTACAAAGCATGCATGAGTCGGGCTGGCTTCAATTTGCCAAATACTACTTAGAGCTGTGGTGCCTAGTGGATAAGAGCTCAGGTACAACCCAAATGATCAGGAGTTCACATCGACCAGCTGCTCTGAAAGAAAGTGATGTGGCTATCTAATTTCATAAAAATTTTCAGCCTTGGGAAGCCCACGGGGCAGCCTGTGGGGCCATTCTTCTGTGCTCTGCAGGGATATCAGGAGTTAAATTGACTCCATGGCATGGGCCTTGATTTGGCCGGAAGAGCCAAGTCAATTGTGTCAACAAAGGGAATTTCACTTTTGTCTTATGTAGTAGATCTTTGACTGATAAACACCATACTATTTTGAAATAATTTCTTCTCTTATTCTTGCATAAAAATTATATTTTATGAGTCATAGTGTTAACCATAAGTCAAACTCTTGAATATATAACATTACCCCCAAAACTGCTTTGCTATATAAAAGAAGGATGTATGATGTGCAATACATATTATCTCCATGTTGAGTAATTGATAATTACCTCTAGAACACCTAGGGTTTTGGTAACCACTTCAAGGAAGCAAAAGCAAATCCAAACCAATCCAGCAACAAACACTAAGCCTGGTTCCTCTCCACAAGGAGCTCATAAACATGTTGGCCACAAGCAAGCCAACTCGAAGACGATTCATATAAAAAGCAAAGTAGTCACTTGCTGTTGGTCCCTAACACCAGGGCAATTTGCCATGTACTTGGCAGAGGGGTGATTATGAAAGGGTGGGGGATGAGTATTCCAGCAGTTCCCAGCAATGGCAGAAATGAGTGATCCACTTCAAGAGAGAGAGATTTCTAGTCGCAATACAAGAGATTAGATGGACAGCGACAGAGAGTATATATATACACACACATCGTCATGCACGTGTCACAGATGTAGACTCATTTCATTTGGTAGGAATATATAGGGATTTTAATAATAAATAAGATATGAAAAGAAAATACATAACACTTCACCTACTGCTCACTAATCTCTGGGATATAATTTATTAATCCTTATTTTGCCTTTTTGGCTTAGAGATACATTGAGAGCTACCATTTGTTAGATCAGAAGAATATCTGTGCAGAAGCATTTTCATTTTAAACATGGTTATTAAACTCTTCTCCTTTGCTGGGATCCTTTCAAAGAAGATATTTTGAGAAGGGCTCAGAATGTCAGATGAATGAGTTAGGACTTGGCAACAGATAATATTCCTATTTCTTTTTTCCCCCTGTAAACTTGATTATAGATGATAATATACACATATCCAAATACAACCATGCTATCATTACAAACTGCTGTATTTTACCCCCCAAAATACTGTTAAACTTTTTTTCCAAATTACTCTATAATTCTGTGTCATGTACACCAACGAAAACAAGCGCTTCATTTGTGCCCATCTACAATCTCTCCATCTCAATCAAAAGTGAAAGCATTCAAGCCAATAATCAGATCATACTTTGTTCAGCGCCCAGCATAATGAATATGTCCTGACCGTCTTTTAATTTTCTTTATAGTGTATACAATTATCTTATTCTTCCTTCCAAAAAAGAGATAAAACAAAATAAAATTGTCTTCTTAGAAGTATCTAATCTGAATGATTCTCAATAAAATGATTATGCGTTTTTCTTCCTCCACTAGTTTTTGGCATTCTCAAAATGTCTCAATCAAACCTTGTGCCTTGATAATGTGCCGTACGCTTTCAGGAAAATGTGACAGTTACTTGGGCAACCATTTTACTATAGTTCTCCGTTTTTTTCCAAATTCCCTAATCACTGCGTAAGCAAGAAGATTGACTCAGATAATTTTTATAGGGATTCTCTTGAATGAACCAAATCAAACCTCAGATATATGGAGACAATTCCCTTTTACCCAGTTACTAACAGTGGGCACTAAGTGTCTCGTCAAGGATAAGCCTTCTAAGGCTTAGCTTTTTAGCCATAGTACTACGGACATGTTGTTGTTGTTATTGTTGAAGTGCCATTGAGTCAAGGCGACTCTTACAGACTCTGTGAACCATCACTGGAAACCTTTCCTCATCCTCCCCTTCCTTCCCCTCCTCTCCCTCCCATGTTCAAGTCAACTGTTGGTGGTCACTCTGTCCATCCATGCTGCTGAGGCTCTTCATCCATTTCACTGACCCTCTACTTTCTCGAGCATGTGAGTTTTGCCCCAGGACTGGTCCCTCCTGACAACATGCTCAAAGTATGTGAACTGATGTTTCACAATCCTTGCCTGCAAGGAGTACTCCAGTTGCCCTTCCTCCAAGATAGACAGATTGGGAAAAGTATCTGGAGGGAAGGGTTTTTCACAGGTATTTTAGGATAGTAGCAACATCTTTCATTCATAGGGTTGCTATGAGTTGCCTACGACTCATCGGCACTTAACAACAATAACATTAACATGGAGAGAGATCAGCTGGCCCAGTGGACAGAAAGTGATGCTACCAAGCCAAAGGTGGGTGATTTTTAATCTATGGGCCTCAGGCCTGCCTTTCATTATTTTTGTTCAAATATTCTTCTAGGTCATGTAGCCCTGGTGTCTCCACTTGTCGTACAGTGATGACTTGTGGTCTCTGTGAAGCTGAACACTGTGACACTGATGTGTCAAATGCGATAATGGTTACCCATAGTGGACAGTGTTTGGTGAAGCTCCCTGATTAAAACAAGCTTGGAAGCAGGAGTGGCATCCACTTCCGTAAATAGCTTGCCTCCAAAAATTCTATGAACCTGGAGAGAGGATGAAAGTCACACAAGTGTTGAGGACTTTGCTTCATAGGGCCGCTATGAGTCGCCTACGACTCGACGGCACTTAACAACAACTACAACAGCAGAATCTATGGCCTCTATCTAATTGATCACCATACTAGCCAATCATGATTATGGTTATAATAATCAGCAATTCCTCCAGGCATTGTCATATAGCCTATAGATGAATATGTGCGTGTGCAAAATCTCTCCAAATTGAGAAATTTACTCCATGAAACAGTTTGCTAATGTTAGGATGTCAATGATGTTGTTTCTTTGAGAATCAGCCTAGGAGTTAATTGACCTATAAATATAGAACAATAGCCATTCATCATTGAAAATACTACCGTCAGAGAGTGACTACTTTGACAAATTATACCAGAACCAATCTAAGTCTCACATTCCTAAAAACACAAGCACTTGCTCCTCTTTGTTCCTGCTAGGTCAGTTAGAGTTGGGTAGAAGTTTCTGTAAATAAGAATCTACTATATGCTTCTGTTGATGCCTTAAATTCCTGAACTATCTCAGAATACAAAAATTCTTTTGTGAGGCGAGCTTGATAACCACTACACTACAGAAACACAAAAGGACTTTGGATGTAATGCAAGCTAAACAGAGATTTAGTCTGTGAAACAGGAAGTGTTAATTAGCACATCCAGCCATTCTGAATGTCCTGGTTCTGGAACAGAAGGAAAAGTGGATGGTAGCTGTGTTTGTGTCATTATGAGTAGTGAGATGGAGATGGACAAGGATTTGCATAGAGAAGGGAGCTCTGGTGGGGTAGTCTGGTAAGAGTTGTACTGCTGGCTACTCTAGTAGTTCGAATCCACCAACAAACAGCTCCTTGGAAAAAGGTAGGCAATTTCCCTCCTGTGGTTTACAGCCTCTCAAAACTTGCTGAGTGTCAGCTAGAAGTCTGTTCTGACTTGAGGGCAATGAGTTGAGCATACCTAGAGAAATGAAGATGGAAATAGAAATAGATGTAGAGATAGATGTTGTCATAGATGCAGATAGAAATAGAGGTAGATCTAGAGGTTTCCAAGTGTAGATCCAAGTAATTATCCCTAAACAAAGGCCCTGCACAGTAGTTCACGCATCGAGAGCTTCTGTACAGGAATTTTTAAGACAGTCACTGGCAAACACAGTCCCTCAAACATACGTGCCCTTGCCAAAGCTTGGGGAGTAAACTGACCTGTGTGTGGATTAAGGAGGATGCTTCCAGGAGGGATGCCCGTTGCAGCTTCGAGTGGAAGGAGGATGTAGCTGGTGCTGCTGGGAGTGACCTGGCCCCCCATTCCGTTCTGAGGGTAGGGCACACAGCCGGAGGAGTTGGCCGCCACACCGGAGAGCAGGGGTGAGCTCTGGAGAGGTGGGTGCGTGCGGGACAATGATCCCGGGGAGCCTGCACCGCTGGAAGACTCGGAACCTGACAGAGAGAGGGATCCACAAGTCATTCTCCAAGCTGCAAGGAGGAGAGAGCCTTTGTGCTTGGTTTGATACGATCCATCATTAAAGAATTTGCAATGCAAGCTGAGCTTAATGAATGCCCCTCCCACGTTTTAGGGCTATGCTTTATTGAGATTTCTGCTGCCTGCTTTTCACATATGACAATTTTCTAGAAGGAAGATTAGGGACCAGAACTCTCTCTGCCTTGTCACCAGTCACAAGGGTGATAAATTGGCAAATGGTACCCTAAGCCTCCGAACTTAGTGTCTAAAAACTCCCATTTTCCCGAAATAATGAATGTCAGGGAAGTGTCTCATGGAGCTGGGTTGAGGAGAGCAGATGACTGAGAAGGGGTAAAGGAGACAGTGGCTTTGGGAGGAAATAGGTGCTGGTGGTGGGGTGGGCTCCAAAGCCCGTATTCTCCAACAGCCAGACGGGTGGATTGGACAGGACCTACGTTAGAATTTTCCTTTTTCCCTGCACATGTCAGTGGAGGTTGCTAATTATTCCTCTTGGGAGCATAGCATATCTGAGTGAGCAAATTTCAAAATCCAACAGATGTCACGGAGCAGCCTGGGCGAGGATAACCTGGACAGACTGAAAGTCAGGGAGACATCATTTGGGTCAGGAACTCCAGCTTTCTCACCCGTGGACCTATTTCAGCATTAGAACAGTGAACATTAGCTTCCTGGTTTTCAATGTGAAGTTGGAAGAACACTGACTTAGAAAATGAAAATTACAGAAGAAAAAAAAAAACCAAACACAGAAGTACCACATGCTCTTTAACAAACAGTTGTTGAAAAGCAAAGCAAAGTCATTCCCCTCGTGTTGAATACAGCTTGTAGTGACCTTATAGAATCAAGTAGAAAGGCCTTATTGGATTTTTAAAACTAAATTTTGATGGGTACAGACTGTTGTATCTTTCCACTGAGGGGAGAAAAGTAGGTTTGAACAGCTAAGCTAACCTTTTGGTTAGTAGCCCTAACTGAAAGAAGAATATGGCACTTGCCCCACCCCTGCCACCCCCAAGTTTGATCACTTCCTGAGAAACTTGATAACATCTAAGCTGGTCATATCAAAGACCAGACCAGACAATGGATCCTGAAAAGGGTCTGAGCCTGATCAAAATAGCTAAAACCTAATTAATTAACACACCAAATTCTGGGAAATACCATCTTAGTCCTCCCCAGGACCCCAATAAAAAGGGAACCCCCCCACCCCAAATTGTCCGCATGCCATTTCTATCCCATCTACATGCTGTGTGGCCAGGTCACTTGGCGGTGTCCCTCTCAGACTGCACTATAAAGGCCTGTCCGTTTCTTGGGACCAGTTTCTTTATTTCTCACCCTCGTGCCCTTGTGCTCTTTTTTTCTAACACTTTAAACAACAAGCCAAAGACATGACACACTCCAAAAGCAAAGTATAGTTAAATTTTTCAGATACTGTACCATATTCTACAAATTGGCAGAACTCTTATTAATACGGCCAGTGGGTGAATCTAGGAAGAACTGGGCATCTCACCCATTGACCATCCTCCAGATGGCAGAGAAGAGAAGCCATAGGGGTGGGAATGGGCATGGACTCATATATGAGGAAGCACCAAGGGGAGCGTCTAGTCTATCTCTAACCATCTCCCATCTCTCTGCACTTTGGAATCAGAAAAACATTCTGCCACACCCCGTATGCACTGCGGACTCAGACCCACACCACAGCCGGGCCCAGCCACCTTATGGTACAGCCTGGTCATCCGAACAAACACATAGAAGTCCAAATTTCGACCTGCCCACATTCAAGCCACTGTGCGATTTGGATGATATTTAAAGATGAATATAATACAAGCGATGTAGTAAATTACTAACCCACAACCATTGATTTAAGCCATTAAAAATGCATTCCCCTGTATTTAATGATATTAAGGGTCAAAATATACCAGCAAAAAGTTAACTTTCTTTTCAAAATTCTAAAATGTACTTTTAAAAGCAAACTCTAGGTGATTTTTTTTTGGTTTGTTTTCTTGTTGTTGTTGTGTACCATCGAATCAGATTTGACTGGCACAGGAGGAGATTGCCCCTTCTCCAGCGGAGCATCTGGTGGATTCGAACCGCGTGCCTTTGGGATTCTAGGTGTTTTTTTAAGGATATGATGGGACTCCAGCATGCAATTGCAGGCACGGGAGTCTGATCATTTTGGAGAAGAAGCACTTTGCATACATGAGCTTAGCCCATGGGATTTTGAGCTGTTAACCAAAATACTGAACATCCCATGGGCGGCCAAAAGAACAAACAGCTGTGTCTTGAAGAGGGTGCAGCCGGAGTGCTCTTTGGAGGCAAGAATGATGAGGCTTCACCTCACATACTTTGGGCATGTTGTTAGGAGGGGATAGTCCTTGGAGAAGGACATGATGCCGAGAAGGGTGGAGGGTAATTGCTTTAGTTGCAAAACATCTTGAGTTAATTGGTTTAGTGGCAAAACGTCTTGAGATGCTTCATCTGAATAGATTAGAATGATGGGATTTGAATAATGTTTGTGGAGAAAAGGAAAGGTTATAAAGGGACATATGAATGGGTATTCTTGTCATTATAGGAGTTCAGAGTGAAGGCTGCACAGAGGAGTGGACTTGTGGGGGGGGGATTGCATAACAATGAGAGTTTTTCTTTCTTTTCAAGGAGAAGAGTGAAGTGGGGCAGGGAGAAAAGTGCAACAATGAATGACTGGAAACCCTAAGTCAATTTAAAAATATAAATGGATTCATCCTGCAAAGGGTTAAACTGGTGGTTGGCTCCTCGGAGGATTCTGAGGCTCTGTCTAACACACTTTGGACATGTTGTAAGGAGGGACCGGTCCTTAGAGGGGGATGTCATGCTTGGGAGGGTGGAGGGACAGTGCAGGAGAGGAAGGCCCTCTAGGAGGTGGATTGATTCAGTGACTGGGATAATTGGGATGGGTGTATCAGAGAGAGTGAGATTGGCACAGGACAGAGCAGAGTTTAGGGCTGTTGTACATAGGGTGTGAACTATTGCTGGCACTGCTACAGGCTTGAGTATTTGGAGGCGGACAATAGATACAGATGAAGATTTCAGAGTGAAGTCCACAGAGTGAATAGTTACAGCTTTGGGGACATGGCCATTCACCTCTGATTGGCGGTATCATTCCCTTCTTAAGAAGAAAAATGAAATAAACACAGTGGTATCATGTTATCAATAAGAAGAGCAAGGTTGCTTTGGTGGTCTAGGCGGTAAGGAATTGTGCTGCCAACCCAAAGGCAGGCAGTTCGAATCCATCAGCTGCTCATCTTTGAGGAAGATGGACAATCTCCTCTCGTGTGATTTACAGCCGCTAAAACAGCCCCTGGAGGGCCAGGTATGAGTGGATTCTCAGTCACCAGCACAACTCAGAGTCAAGAGGTAGGGGGGAGAGAAGGAAAACGATGGAATCTGGCAATAAATGGGGGTGTGAACCGTATTTTATGCAAATAGCACAAGCATTATACATTTTTCCCCCCAACTGTGTAGCCTCCTCTAGCAATGGGTTCCTATGAATGTTACATGCATGAATGTGTTAAATGCAAAAAGGTTGCACAACTTCCTTCCTGTGCCTGGGGAACCCAGCGGAAAGTCAGCTATGCATCAGTGCCAACTCCATGCCAATGAGTATTTCTCAGCTGTATTGCCAGGCAAACAGGTGAGGACACAACGGAAATACCATTCAAACGGGGCTCATGAGGGCGACCAAATGACACCCGCTAGCTCCAAGGTGCATCCTGAGCACCTGTTAGGGGCAATTACTGTCTTCAGTGTTGGAGATGAAAAAGGGGAAGGCAGGGGACTACATCTGAAAGGGGTGTTCTTGTCAGATGTAAGTGCAGTGCTTTTTCCAAAATGTAAGAAAATGTGTTACCAACATGGGAAATAATATCATTGTTTTAAAGAAAGAATCTATGCAATTAGAAGACTGGAAGAGTAACTTAAATGTCACAGCTCCAGATTTGGTTTCTGAAAGGTCAAGAAAACCCCATAAAAGTTAACACTTCTATTGGGAACAATGAGATAGAGAAAATGGAACTGCATGGCAGCAAAACTGACAGCTTCGCTTCAGCAAACCAGCTCAGGAAATTCTTAGTTTGTTTTGACATCCTAACTCAATCTCCTGCACATAAAAAAAAAGAAAAGAAAAATTGTTTCCTTTTCCTGCCGGCACCTTGACAAGCTTTCAAATGGAGATATTTAGATTTTTTTCTTTAAAAAAGTTAGAAGCACTTAAAATTTCTCATCATTCTTCAAAGAACATGGTGTGTTAGGAGTCTCCATGTGCTTTCAATGATGTTTCCAGAGAGCTTTGCTTGGAAAGTGATTGGGGGTTGGTGAAAAGGGAAATGACGATCAGTTCTAAAATCTTAAGAGCTCTTTTGGTGTGCTGGAATTTTGAAGTGAACCATTTAAGGTACTTGGCCTCTGCATTTTAAGGAGATTTAAAACAATTTAACCTTTCTAAGTGTACAAGAGTTCAAGTGCACCATAATGGATTGCCTTGACAGCAGTTGCTGCAGGAGTGGGGCGCGAGAGCAATTAATTAGAGGAAGAAATCAAGAATTCAACAATTGGTGAATTAAGAATACAGGAAGGCAATGTGTCCCCTGGATGCTTCCGAGAAGCAGAATATGCAAAAAGTAGTGGATATGAAAAAAATGCTTATAAATATTTTGGCTATGTAGGAAGACATGAGGTAATTTTTAGGAGGCATTTATTAACATAATTACGTTAAACCACCAGCATAATACAGCTAGATTTTTCAGAGGTCCTGCCTCTGAGTGAGAGCCTGGGACTCGGTCGGGACAGCACACACAGGTGGGGCCAGCCATTGTCTGAGTTCTACCCGTTACCCTCTTCATCACCCTCATCCCTACCTCCATTCTCCAGAAACATCCCACCTAGGCCAATATATCCTGACACTACGAATGCCACTGAATCCCAACCCCCAGCCTCACTGAGGTTGTGGGTGCTAACCACGCTCCTTGAGGCAAACCCAAACCCAAATCCCAAACTCTGCCAACGGGCAATAAACCTGAGAAAGTCAGAAGATATTCTGTACAGGTGGGAACGAGCCAGAGCAGGAAAATGGAAATACATTCACTAATAAGGATTGATAGAAAATGGTCAGACAGACGTTGTGAAAGGTAGAGAGCAGGTGAGAGTCAAGAAAACCAGGGAATCAAATTGAGGTCCAGCTCTCACAGGTTGCATCATATAAACGTATCCCCTGGACTGCTACTGAAGGGTCCCTGGCCACCTTCATGGGGTCTGATGAGTCACTTTAATTGTGAATACTTGAGAAAATACTGAGGAATTCCTCAAAAGTAGCAGAGCAAAGAGCTGCAGACAGGAAGGGGGTTTGGCAAGCTCAGATGAGCAACCTGGTGTCTGTGCTTCCAGCAGTTGGAGTTATTTCATGTTGATGATTCTCTAAGGTCTCTTCCCATCACTCTCCTCCCAAACTGCTCACTTCAGAATATCACCGTGTACCTGTGGACCTCCCACAGAACAAGCACAAGCAGGGGGCCCCTTAGAGGCAAGGATGGTGACACTGCATCCCATATACTCTGGGCATACTGTCGGGAGGGACCAGTCTTTGGAAAAAGCAATTCTGCTGGGAAAGGTCGGGGGGGGGGGGTCAGAGAAAGGTAGGAGGACCCCAAATGAAATGGATTGACACAGTGACTGGAAGCTGTGGACTCAAACGCATCAGTGTGAGGAGGGCACAGGAGAGGATGCGGTTCACATCGGCTGTTCCTAGGGTCACCGTGAGTCCTTGTTAACTCGAAGACACCTAACAACAATGATCACAATAATGTCGAAGGACAGACGGCAACAAACAAACCGAAACAAAAAGTGTACACAGGCACTCGAAATCTCTGAGCTCCAGTTTGCTTCTCTGCAAAACACAGATGAAAGCCCAGTTGAATTGCAATAAGACGAACGAATGTTTATTGTGGGAGCCCTGGTGGCCGAGTGGTAAGACGCTACGCTGCAATCCTAAAGGCACACAGTTTGAATCCACCAGCTGGTCCGCAGAAGAAGAATGGCCAGTTTCCTTCTGTGCATCTGAGTCTGCAAACCTGCCCGCAGGGTCACCTATGAGTTAGTCCCACTTGATGCCACAAAACGTTTTTTGAATGTTTTTTATTAGTTGTTGTGAGTTGAATTATTATTACCTCTCTCCCCAAATAAATATTGTAAATCCTAAACTTTATGATGCTGGTTATAATCCCCTTTGGAACAGGCTAACTTTGTTATGTGATTGAGACAGGATTTGTGCAGGATGGGCTTTGAGTCAATCTCTTTGGAGGGATAAGAGATTAAACACACAAGCAAGTGAATAAAAATGGGATAAAATAGATACCAGGATGTGTGGAAACAGGCAAGGAATCAGAACTCACAAGTTGAACACACAAGGAACTTCCTCCAAGACAAATAGACAGGAAACCTTTCCCTAATATCAAGTCTGAGTTGGACATGTTGTTGTGTGTTGTGTTTCTATCAAGTCTGAGTTGGACATGTTGTTGTGTGTTGTGTTTCAAAGAGTCAGAACCAACTCATGAATGAGTCTCTGGTGGATTTTCACAGGCAGTTAACTGGATGAGAAAAGACTGCCCATCGTTCTCTGACCGAGCAGCTAACGTACTCAAACTGCGTGCCTTAGGGATTGCAGTGCAGCTTCTTGCCACTAGGCCAAGGAATTTCTGTTTGTTAAAGCCCTCTATCTACTTGTGATAGATGGCCATCTATCTACTTTGTCACAGCCCTAGAAGATTAACTAAAACACTTTCAAAGCAAATGTTTAATTGCTTTAGATATATTGGCTCACAGAATCTTTGTAACAACCCTGAATAAGTACTATTTCCATTTCTCGGATAAGAAAATACAGGTTAAAGACCTTGTCAGGGTTATATGAGGTTAGAAATGCAGGTTAGAGACCTTGTCAGGATGGCCCATGCAGAAGTCCAAGCTATTAAGATAATATGTTACAGAATGGTGTTAAGTATGAAATCATAGCATTGATTTTTTAAATAAAAGCTAACATTTGTTCAATAGTTGCCATGTGTTCCATGCTGTGGCAATAATTTTTACATACATTCCAAAATTAGGCTAAAGTGGGCTGGAGCAGAATTCCATTATTATTTGCGTTTTAGAGACAAGGAAATGGAGACACCCAGGTACACAGCCTAGCAAGGGAAGGATGGTGTTTAAATTCTACCTTCTGACTTCTCAGCTCTCTCTAATTAATATCATCACCATCATTAGTCAGCTGGAAGTCAGAGGGACATGTGGCCATATGGCCTGGGAAGACTCCAGCAAATCCCACAGAACGCAGACCCATTCAGTAGTAAGTACCTGCTTTGGACAGCTTCCCGGTACTCCTGGTACTGGATGTGCTGTCACCTCTGGTCAGCACAGTGATGCCACCAAAACTTGCCGTCTTGGTCATGGTGGGCTTGAGATTGCGATTGGAGCTATCAGAGTCCGTGCTGCTCCAGGCCCGCTGGTGGTCGCACCACTTGAGTTCATTCTCCGAGCTGCTCTGTCGGCTCCCGGACGTCCTCCCTGAGCCATCTCTGTTGCCCCTGAAGCGAGGCCACCAGAAAGATACACAGGGACAGCTTTACATTGCACGTGCAGTGCAGGCGCCAAGCAAGGTCCTTCCTGGAGGAGCGATCTAGACTCTTTCACCATCCCTTCCCGTTAAAAACCTGTTACTCTGCAAACAGCACTACAAATGAATCCATGATGTACAGACAGAGAACACATCACACATAAACACCCATGTTACAGACAGAAATCGAACCTAGACTTGTCACATCATCCCTCTGCCACTGAAGGTAAAACAACTAGAAAAATAAACTGTACAAGAGAATTGTCAATTTCTCTTGGAGGTTATAGATGAGGATATGTTCTCCTGACCCAAATGAACCACTAATAATAATAATAATAATAATAATAATAATAATAATAATAATAATAATATTGCATGATGGTAAAGACAACGATGGTGAAGGAAAGTTTTGTCTTTCCCTCAGCATCCAATATCTGTGCCATGAAAAATGCTCACAGATCCAGAAAAGCCAATTATGAATCCAGTTTCCCACCTCATAACTTGATGTCATTGAGTCAATCCAGACTGAGAGTGACCCCAGGTGTTTCCCGCAGGACTGCACTCTGCTAGGTTTTCAGGCAGTTTTAGAAGCACTTTGCTAGACTTTAATTCCAAGGCACTTCTAGGTAAGTTTGAACCGCCCTGTGTTTAACCATTTGCACCAACCAGAAGATGCCATCACAGTATATGAAATGATCAGAGGTGACCTGAGATATGACTAGAGATTTATAGAGGCACAAATTTACCTCCCAAATTTAGCAAGGCTTTATTTAGCATATGGGATAGAAATCATGGAAATTATCCAGTTAGCTTACAGTAAGAATTTTGCCCAGTGAGTTTAACCTTCATGGGCAGAGGAAAGAGTCACTTAACCCTTTTCCATGGAAACACATCATACAACAACAACAACAACAACAACAACAGGGTAAACACCAAACTGACATGAATCTGTCCAAGGAGATCAGAGGAGATGCACAGCCTCCCAGAGGTGAAAGAGCACCAAGGTCAAGAACAAAGAGTGAATGCAAGTCCAGAATCAGAAGACTCCAGAGTTTCTCTAAGAACTGTGCAACACTGACACACATTTTACAAAGGAAGTTGATGAAAGTTACATTTTCATTGGTTTCCAATCTGCTTAAAGAGCGACCTTATTAACATTTCCAAAGCTCGTCTCATTGTTTCCTGCAGATGAAAATAACACATCAATAAAATGCCTCGACACCTTCATGGATTATAAAGAGGGAAACTATTGCTGCGATGATGTCAGTGCTGGTTCCTGGACACACCATGTGCACACAGCAGAATTGCTTCAGGGGGTTTTCTTAACTGTAATCTTTCTGGTAATTGAGAGCCAAGCCTTTTTTTCCCTGATGCTACACAGTGGCCTCAAGCCATTAACTTCTAGGTTCATAATCTAGCAAAAATCCTTTGTAGGATGCAGGAGTGTGTAGCCAAAACTCTCTGATAACTAAATAAATCACAGGTGTGATATGGTTTAGTCTAACCTACTTGCTCCATCCTTTGAATATCTGTTTCTAGAGCTGAGGATATTTTTCTGTCGATTCCTATGAGGTTTCCATATCCTCTGATTGATAAGGCAGCCCAAGATTTCCTCCACTTTCTCCACCAGCCCAGATGAGCTTCCCAAGCCAAGATCTGGTAACTTTGTTTTTGTTTTTTTTTATTTTTTTTTTGGTAACTTTGTTTTAGAAAAAGGATTTAAGTTGTTGCATTTAGGGAGTTAGCCTTCACCGACCTCTACATAATACATTTCATTCTAATTTATGATCAATAGCCATTTGCTCATTGAAACATATTTTCTACCTTCCTACCTATTCATTCTTCAACCTGTGGCAAAATAATGTCTACAACTGATACTATCTTACTTGGATGTGGAATCATAGACATCAAAAAAGAACATACATTGTGGCTACCTTCCCTCATAAGCCCAATCTTGATACCTTATTTCCTGGATCCAGGAAGATGCTGGTAATGATAGATCTCCTTGTTAGACATGGCCGGCTTACAAGTGAATAAGATTTGAATCCTCAGTAGTCAAAAAAGCATATACTCTCAATTTACGCAGATTTATATAACTAACATCTTTTTGTTTATATATGAAAATTTTTTTTTACTGGTATTTCTTCTATAAGAGCACAAAGTTCTATTGTTGATGTTGTTTGGGGGGCTTTTTTTGTAGCCTTTCCGTCAAGAGTTAGAATTTCTTATTTGTAATTGCACTAACATAGTCAGTAGCACTGAATTTCAAGTATATTTGTAACTACTATGAATGCTTTCTGTACGATGAATGTTAGAGATACAGTACCTGAGAAGAGAGAAAACTTATCTTGTCTCTCAGTCTTCATGAAGTTTCCCTTATAGTGTAAACTTTGGGGGGAAATCTAATTCTGTACATTTAATATTACAGAGGTTGTGACTTAAGTAGTTCCTTTTCATTACATGTCTTCCTTTAGGAAGACAATCTATGCTTGACAGAAAATAAAAAAAACACACTGATTGAAATATTTGATGGGTAATAGTGGGCTTAAAACATCAACATCCAAATAGTCATCACTGACTTATTTTCTAGGGTTAAGAAATGGACACCCAATTACAACCTGGCAGAAAATTATTGTTAGAAATGGACATACAGTTACAACCTCACAGAAATATGTTGACTCAGTTTCATTCCCAGAAGTTGATCTTGTGAATGTCAAATCAATTAGTGCTTGAAGATAAACAGAGGAACCCTAGAAGAAGAACCCTAACAAACAAAATGTATGCAAGCAGACAGATTTCAGGTTCCATATCTCACACTAGCCAATACAATTTAAACACTACCAATGCAACAAATTTTACAAAGAGCTAGCCAAAGGTAGTTGTATTTCATGAACAACAACAAAAAAGTTAAATAGTTTACACTAATACACTTATATGTAACATTGATTCTGCCCCATAATCTGAAAACACAGTTTTAAAAAAGTAAACCATACCAACCGAAAGAGCTGTCTTTTCTTATAGGTCTCATTGCATATGTTACTGTCTTCCAAGAGCCTACTGAAAATGAAAAACATGATATTTATAATAAAACCTAAGGGTACTAATTGCCCTATTTTAAATAGGTGTGCACTCAACTTGAGGAGCCCTTTCTTGCCAACCAGACCCATCAATGTTATTTATTTGTGTAATGAGATTTTTACCCTAGTAAATAAAGGGCAACATGGTCTTCTCTACTCTAAGATTAAGATCTCCACCCCAGGGTCAAGGAAGGAACTAATGCAAGAGAAAAGGGAAGGGGACGGAGGATTAGATAGATTGGAGAGCAAAAGAAAATTGAGTAAGTTGATTTAACTGATATCATAGACATCTAATTCAATATGCACAGTATGATTTTGGGACGGCGAGTATTATTAAAGTCATTCTTAATTTCTTGGACTTAAGCGAAATAGTGTCGTACCAGAGGCAGGTATCCAAGAAATATATTGATTTCTGGAGCAGAGCCAATCAATTAAATTTTTGCTTATTGAGATCATCAAGAGCTTTATACATGCAATGCAAATGAATGAACAATTTACCGTACAGCTGAACCTTATGCAGTTTGAATATAAAGGACCCTTCAATGACTAAGCAGGTTGGTTGGTTGGCTTTAAGTGTTAAAGTTCAAGCAAATGAATAAGATTAGGAAATAAGGTTAGAAAATGAATTGGAATAAATTTCCTCACTAATTAAATTATAAACAATGTTTTTTGGTAAGGTTTTAGGATTTGGAATATTTCAGAGTCATCTTCAAGATGTCAATGCTCATGGCTTCCTTGTTTAGTAGAAGGGGGTAGAGATTATTAGTCTGCATCTCTGTGGATTCCCAGGACAACTTTGAAGTTGTTCTTGTATGTGTGTGTGTGTGTATATATATATAGATGTGTTTTCCAATTCTTTCACTTCTTTAGAGGAGTCATGGAAAGAAATGTCACTTCATTGATTAGCTGCTTCAAAATGTTCATGAGATAGAATGAATAACGTGATTTTTTAAAAAAACCTAATCATCTGCATTTCCCAGTTTAAATTTTTCTAAGTACTGGCATTTAATTAAACAGCCTTCACTTTAATCAATTTTATAGGTGCACCCATTAAGCTGATATCTGAGATGAAATTAACAGCTATTTTTCCATGGAATTCCATATTTCCTATCCAAGTTGCCCAATTTGATGCATCCTAAATGTGATTAAAACTGCTAATGTGAATTTTTTTAAATTCCCCTTGAAAAGTAGCAATTAAATCATGGGGAATTTTATTATTTATGCCTGTTTAGAAGTAACTTTAAAAGGTTATGTTAAATTTGGAAACAAATCCTCTGTAATGCTCAACTTTCGATAAGCCTTTTCCACTCCATGTCCATAGTCTGTCCTGAAAGTACCTTAGCTGAACACATTGATAAATTCAGATCTGTTGAAACAAGGTTTCCAACTTAGCCTTTTATGAACATGAATATGTAAACTCTAGCATTTGAATAGCTATATATAATGAAGGAGCATACTTCATAATAATGATAAATATGCAAATACTTTCCGCAGACTCTTCTATAAGCCAATGAAACTGCAAGTTCCCATGTGGTCTCGACATTTATACTTTTGCTTGTTTGCTGAAGGTGGTAGAAACGACACGTTTGGAAGGACCAGATGTGGAGACCTTATAAAGGAAATGCCTATACTTATGTTTGGTTATAACCAAGAAAACTTTTCCCCAACATTAAATCATTTTAGACATGCTAAATAACATATGTGGGTGCATATATATGTGTGCACACCTAGATATATGTATTTCTTTACACATATATCCAAGCACACACTTATATATGGCATATGTATATATATATATATGTATATGTATATCTATGAATACACCGGACACACACAACAGACTGCCTCTTCTAAACACACAAGGAAGAAATGTCATTTTACCTGTTTTCCACAAAAAGGCTTTCCTGGGAGCAAACTGACTGAAAAATAAAAAGAAAGGCATTGTATCAGACGTTCTGGATCTGTTTAGGGATCCCAAATCCTCGCCTGATTTTAAAACTACTTTCCCCTCCGAAGGGAAAGGGACTTATCAAAGCATGTACTACTTTCAGTAAATGAGGAAATTTAAAAAAAAAAAAAAGGAAAAAGAAAAAAAGAAGTTAGCGTTAGGAGAGTAAACAATTCTCATGAAGCCCACGGCATTTCTCCATCATCAAGTCATTTCCAGGATTGAAACTGATGCAGCCCATTTGGCACCGAGGTCAGGAGAGAGAGGTGGGCATGGAACTACTGGTGAAAGATGACTGGAGGGTGTTGAGCCTGGTTTTCCTTCTGTGGCTCAACTGAGACCCCCTGCTGAGCAGCAGCCACCACCAGGAGCCAAAGAAATGGGTTCAAATCAAAGCAGGGCATGCACGTGTGGTGCACCCCGGCTGAGGACCAAGAAAGTGGCAAGGCCGTCGTCTCCATCAGGGTGCAAGCATCACTTGGCACTGCTCAACTTTTGCAATAGATAGAGACTGACTCAAAGGTGTGGAATTTTCACTGACCAGAAATCTTCAGTAAAGGCAGATGGAGACAAGGAAGAAGGGAAGCTCATTGATAAAACAGTCAAACCCCACCTAACATTTCTGCAGTTTTCACACGACAGAAACCAGCCATTTTCTTCTTAGAACAGTTCATTTTTTTTGTCTACATCATAGTTACTACACACTGTGGAGAAGCTGAGGTGCTATTATTATTTTATCCTAGAGAAGGGTTGATCATATGAAATTTAAACAAACAGAAAAACTAGATAAAATATGGTGTCCTGTTCCTAGAACATAAGAACTATGTTCTTTTTTGGGGGGGAAAAATCCATTTCCAAGTATAGAATTTCTATCTACAAATATATATACATCTCATTATATTTATAGATTTTTAACAGTGATGGCTAAGTGGCCTATTAGAGGGATAAAGAGACTTAAACAAGTTTGGTTGGGGTTTTGGTTTTGGGTTTTTTGTTTTGTTGCATTGTGTTTTGAGATCTACTAAAATTTAAGAAATAATAATGACCTTTCAATAACTAACTTTTTAAAAAATTATTTTTCTGTGTGTGTACCGTCAAATCAGATCTGACAGATACAGGAGGGGCTTGCCCCTCCTTCTCCAGCAGAGCATCTGGTGTATTCAAACCGCTCACCTCTGGGATTGCAGTGAGCTTCTTGCCACTAGGCCACCAGAGTTCCCTTCAATAACTAATTTTTAATCAAAAGATGGTGCTAAAATAACTAATGCTCATAAAGGCAGGTAAAATAGTGGGTTTTTTCTTTAATTTGCTAAAGAAACAATTTCTTCCTGTTTAGCAAAGGGTCACCCTGGGCAGTGTGTGTGCTGGCCATTTTAGGAAAGGCACATCTGGTACTCTCCCTGATTTAAATCTATGCAGTAACCCGCCATGCTCCATGGAGATGAATTTACAAAAAGTTAACAAAAAGCAAAACAGACCAATTAAGAAAGGCCTTTACAGAAAGGAGTTTTTTAATTTAACAATTTTATGTATGAGAAGAATAAAATACAAATTGTATGCTGTTGATATTATGCCAATAAAGGTCTCTTTAAAACTTCTGAAAACCTCACTACCTTTGAGGCAGTGCTGAAAAATGGAGTCCCTCCACTGACTTCCAAAGTGGGGCATTTTTATAGGAGGAGATTGCCTATCTTTCTCCTGTGGAGCTGCTGGTGGATTTGAACTGATGACCTTTAGTTTTGTAACACGTAAGGCACTATACAACAGAGTGCCAGGTATAATATAAAATAAAATATCATACTGTCCTTACTTCTTTTCATTTGCTTCATTCCTTATAGTTTTATTTCCTAAATAAATATTGCCACTTTGGGGCAACTAATGGCATGTGGAAAAAAAAGTAAGTTTGTCTCGGCGATGTATCATGAATTCAGTATTTCGCTACTTCCCTCAGCTCTTGAGGTTGCAAGGAGGTCAATTTGCATTTACAATAATCGGGTTGGAGAGAAGAATTCTGTAGACTGTATTTCTTCTTTGAAGGAGTAGATCGAAGACACTGACCTTCCCTGACCTCCTCAGGTCTAATCATCTAATAGCACTTGGGAGAAAGTTAAACTCGCAGCTCAAACTTCAGAAATTAAAAAGTAAGATCTCTTGCCTCCTCCACGATACTTTCCATCCTTCGATGGAAAGATCCCCAAAAGTCTTTTCATCATCCCTCTGCCCCATTTTCATTAACAAAACAGAGTAACTAATAGGCTGCAAATTTTGCAGCAGATGAGAATAAACTTTTTTAAGAAAAGTAATATTAATAACCTGCAACTTTTAATAGCAGGGAGAGGTAAAATTGTCACAGTAATTAAGTGCTACATTCAAAGCTGTCACTTATATGCATTCCCAGAACTTAAGGGCTCATTTATTATTTAAAAAAAAAAAGGCGAGAAAAAATGATTTGCCTAATGGCTTACAGAATTCTCGCCCACATCCCATCCCCGAATGGGGGTGACACCTCTTGCCCTTATTACTCGTTCTTATGGAAGAGGAACCTTAGAATATGCTTAGGGGACAACAGACAGGGCTCCCCCTGAAGCCCTACTTGATACATAAATATCATTCAGAAACCAACCTCCCAGCAAAACCTGTTTTGCACAAATAGATTACAATATCTATCTCGCGATCTCAATGTTAGCTACGTTACATAGACTTAATTCTAAAATAAGATGAAATCCTTGCCAAATTGGAAAGATATTTGAAATCTTACCCCTGAAAACACTTATTAGAATTTAATTTTTTAATTTATTATTATTACTTGAGCACTAAATCTATGTGATCAATTTTTTTTTTTGGTTGAGAACTCCTCACACAATATACATATCCTGGCTATGTGTTTACTTACATACATAAGCACACACACATTTTCACACTTGCATACACACACAGACAGACAGACACACACACACCCTTAGAGACTGAAATGTAATTGAAAAAATATTCAACAACGTTTCGAAACTTAAAATGAACTGGACTTTTGCTAAATGAATGGAAAATATCCAGAAGGATTCTTGTGTTCTCTTTTGTTCTATCAGATAATAGTCAAACAAATACTCCTGAAGTATATTACTACTTTAATCTATTTGAGAGGCTCTACTACTCAAACAGTAACTCCCAAAAATGTTGGTTTATTTGCTCAGGTTTTCAGTTATGAATAAACAAAATCAAAGATCAGGAAAATAGAAGATGAGACCTTCTACTGCAGTCTCTTCATGCTGGATTCCTTGCATTTCCCCCCCTTGAAGAGTTAAAAAGGGGAAAAAAACCATGTTATACAGAGTACAGCTAAACCGGCAGGAGTACATTTTATTTCTGCTAGTAATTAGACAATGGAAACAGAATGGGGCATAAAAATGGGCCCACTAAGTTGAATGTTAGCAAGGCACTCCCATTTGTTTTCTATTTGACTTGGGATGATTGTATAGTGTAACAATTTGGGCTGTGATCATGACCAGTTGGGGATCTAGTTTGGGGTCATATGAACCCTCTCCCAAAGTTTACTTTCCTGATATAGAAATCAGTAAGGAAGGTTTGCCATTTACGCACTCAAGAACCTTCATAGGGTTGTGTTCTGTCTTTGAGGTTGGTGTTAACAGAGAATATCGAGCTGTTAATTCAAGATGATGTCTAATGACTTCACGTCTTGATGTATAGAGCCTTGCACAGTTTCTTAAACGTTAGACAAGGGTTGCTCTGTGTGTCCAACAGAATACAGCAGATAAGAAGTGATGTCCCTTCAGAGACGAGGATGAAAAGAGTGTGTTTTCCAGCTTGGTCATTCTCTAACCTTGCCCTGGGGATCATCACTTGCTTTGTTGTAACGATACACGAACAGCGGACAGCATATGCAGTGACCCACACAGCACGGCAGTGAGGCCTGCTAAGAGCCACCTGGGCGGATTTGTGAGGGAATAACACATCATTCTAACCTTTAGAGGCCTTCAGCCTTAGCCCACAACTCGAGAACAATCTCAAAATCCTCAGCCAGAAAGACAAAGTAAGCCATTCTCAGAGTCCAGGCCTACAAGAACCAAGGTGTAGTCAGCGTTTTTGTTTTGAACTGTCACATTCTGGATGATTTGTTTTGCTGCACTAGCTGACTGGTATACAGACAGCATCAAGGGCGTGTTTCACTTTCTCTAGGGAAGCCACAGTGCTCAGGAAAAGGCTGCAGCCAAGATTTTTCTCCCTTTAAGAGAGTGGTTTGAACCTTTTCAGTGTCCTGGAAACTTGTAAGAATATGAAGCAAGCAGATACTTTCTTTATCAAAAGGCATAGAAACTCCCAAATCTAACACTTTGCAGACAGTATCAGGGGCCTTTCCTTCTATGAGTTTATTGAGGATATAGGGTCCTAAAACAAAAAAACAAACAAAAACCCCCTTGACCTTGACCTAGGAGATGAGGAAAATGCTGCGCCAGAAACAGGAGGTCAGATAGCCCCCATGAATCAGGAAAATGGGGAGTACTGGCCACCAGAGAATCTCTGCTAGGGCAAACAGATCCTTCTTTATTATGACTAAATTTGTAGCTGTTGTGTGTACCATAGAGTCAGAACCGATCCGTAGCAGACCTTCCAGCGGTTTTCCAGAAGTTAATCTCATGGGAGGAGATTGTCTATCCTTCTCCCATGAAGCAGCTGGTGGCCTTGAACTGCATGCCTTTGGGATTGCAGCACAGCTTCTTGCCATTAGGCCACCAGAGCTCCATGACTAACCTAGATCCTCTCATTCCCTCATTCTTGTATCTCACAAACACAGTGAAAGTCTTGCCAGGTGCTAGTGCCGTGGCCATGCCGCGCACCATCTGGAATTCTGATCTTAACCACAACCTAATTCTGCACCTCATGAGCAGAGTGTCTAGAATGAGTCAAACCCCCAGTTAAGGCTCCTTCCTTCATCCTTTCTCATAACCTCCTAATCCCAGACCCCTGGGCCGGATCTATCCACTTGGCCGACTGCAATTTGACTACATTCAGGATAGGAATAGTGGTCTCGGAGAGATCACACAAACCATTTTTAAAAAAAATATCCCCATGAAACAAGTGTGGTGGTGGAGGAAATGGAAGGTCCACCATGGCCTCCTGTTAAGTGACTCAGCCCTGGCTGGAAGATCAGAGAAACTGGCTTGGGCCTCAATCCACCTGCACACAGCCTCCCTCATCCAGGCTAAGCTGTGGCGTGCACGTCCTAGCTGACTTGACGTGACTCCCAGGAGTAAATCACAACAGAGGCTAGATATCCTGTGGGAAGCCGAATATCAAATTTAATATTAATAAGAAACCAAATGCTAGATCAGGATATGAGGGAGGGCGTAATACAAGCTAGAATTCACCCTGTGGCACTAAGGCATTCTCTAAGAGTCAACACTGTTCCTAGTTTGTATTTACTGAATCCCTTTTGTATTTACTGAATCCCTCCCTCCTGAGATAAGCATAAGATAAACAATAGAGAGGAACTCGGCCTAATCTGTAAAAGTCTTCTCCATGATCCCTTGTTTTTGTTTTCTCCTCCCTTATGATTTTCCTTTATTCACCTTCCTTATGATTCTCAATAAATACTCAGAGAGGCATGGCTTGAGGCCTTCCGTCATGGGAACTGCTGGCCCTAGCTCACTCAGGCAACTTAGCAGGTTGGGCGGTGGAGTTCATGCAATAAAGCTCACACCTCTACACTTTGACTTCTCAGAAGGAAGTGCACACCGCATTTCAGAGACTGACAAGCGACTTCATGGGATGGAAATGCCACGGCCACGGCTCGTCATTTTCATTTTCTTGTACTTGCATCCCACAGTCAAGTTTTCCACATCTTTCTGTACATATTTAATTGTGGCCACAGAGAGAAAACACCACCACCACCACCAACAGCAACAACACCCCAACACCTCATTTTTTTTTCTCTTGGGACTTAGATAAAATTAATTATATAATGGATATATCCTTGGCAACCTGCTCTTTTAGCCCCCCTTTCTCTAGCTTGTTCTCTGGACGACATTGTTGTTACAAAGGAAACAACAGCGGACTCTTTTTCTGACTGAAACGGATATGAAGGCATCTCTTGAAATCTGACAGCCTCTCTGAGGTTCAGTTGTACTTTGCTGTACTGAATTGTGCATGTCATAACCTAGAAACACACCCAAACCTTTGGCTGCTTCTCCCTCACTTCCCTGAACCAGATCCTCTTCCAGAAACACCTCGAGTCTGCAGCAGTTCAGCCTGTTCCCTGGCTTTAGCCCTCTCCTCCTCTGCCAGCTCACTGTCTGGGGCGCCAGGCCGCCTTACTGCTGACGGAAGGACCATACTGAAGAGGCAATGAAAACAACTACTCACATCATGTGCAAATATTCTCTCCCTCACTCTCTGATATTCCTCTTCTCTCTCTTCAATTGATTTACTTCGTCTGTCATCTCTAAATGGATGCGTTCTGTTTTGCTGAACAGAGAAAAGAAATCAGGAGGGTTATCCACGTTGAGATGGTAGAAATCTGCAGTTAAGCAACTGTCAGCTGAGAATAATAAATGTTCATTTAAACAATGGAGCTGGAGAAGTCTCAATCCCTCTGGTCCCTAAGGGGGACTTGGAGGAGGAATATGTACAGTGTGTGTGTGCATGTGTCAATGTGTGTGAGTGACATGTAATGACAGGAGATGCTGGTGGAATCTGGTTGTCTCCTTACTGGCTGGCAGGAGCACAGATGTTTCAGAAATGAAACACAAGTGCCTCAGCTGTTTAGCCAGTTCAGACAGGTGGCCAGTGATGCACTCCGTCGCCTTCACTAGCCTGCTGGGTTTGAGCCATCTAAAGGAGGTGGCATGGCTGCCTCAGAGTGACTGAGGGGAGGGATAGCTTTGAAAAACTTGGGCACCGGTGAAATAACAGCACAGGTGAGTAAATAAAGTTAAGGGTGAAAAGGAGTTTGTGAACACTCAACCTCTCTATCCTAATTTATGCATTTTATTCACTCAATGACTGATCCTGTGAGTTGCCAACAAAGTAAGACCTAAGACTTTAATTTTGACAAGTTTGGTGATGACGTCTGATCTCAAGAAGCCAAAGAATCCAGCATGAGGACTGCTTGTCTTCATCCTCTCATTGGGACTTTTTCTTGCCTCTTAACTACCATCCCTTCTCATTCTAGCTGTTCCTAACACAATGCTCTGCACTACCACATCTGTCCATCCGTCCTTCCGTCCTTCCATCCATCCATCCATCCATCCATCCATCCATCCGACAAACACCCACTGAGTACACGACAGAGGTATATGTTTCATTGTCTACAGAAGCCACGGTTCAGCTCGGTGGTGGTGGGAGGAAACAAGAAACAAATGATGAACAGGTGTATTTAAAAAAAGTACGTCAGAGATCCACATACTGACTCATTGAGAGCAATTAAAGTAATCGCTTGAGTGAGATGCATATTGTCTTACCTTGAAGAAATTGAAAGCAAAGCTCTTTTCAAAAAAAAAGCTATTTTGATTGTCAAAGACACAAAGAGTAATTGTAATGGCACTTATATGGCTTTCTGCTGTTCTTTCCATGGTCTGACTATTCTTTTTTATTTTATCTCTTTGGCCATTTCTTTAATGCCCCTTTGTATTCCCTCCATGCCCTTGTCACTCATCCCCAACGCTGAAGAGGAGACGCAGAGGACTCTCTACCCTTGTCCAGATACCGTGGATGTGTCTACTCTTGACAAACATAGTGCTTTGTCACAAGCAAAATACACACAAGGAGAAAGTCCTGCTACAGTGCATGCAAAACAAGCAGACAATTTACATGGACCATAAAACATGGGAAGAAAAAGGCGGTGGGAGACTGAAACGTGAACTCAATTCTTTTCCGTGAAGACTTATTTTAGGATAGTTGCAAAATCCACCTGTCCTCACCATGAACAAGGTTTGTTCTTTACGGCCACACCGTTGATCATCGCTCCGTATTGATGATCCAGCTCAGTGTGTGCACAACTGAAGGACAGAGCTGTAGGGAGTGGAATCACTGCCATGGTTACACAGACACCTGCTAATGCGACTGACAAAGCTTCCCCGACAGCTCCAAGCCTGAAGCATCCCAACCCCGCCCCAGGCATGCGGCAGGAACTGCGCCAAGCACCACCCATGCAGCCCAACACAGAGCCAAAGCTAAAGCCACCAGGACTTCGGTTTGCCACCCATTGAATGCCAAAGGGGGGGGAGAGGCGAGAGGGCCAAGGAGATTGGAGAGAGGCCATAGTATCATAGGCAAGGGGGGATGGGTGGGAGAGGGAGGAGGAGGGGACCACGACAAGAACACCAGTCAGCCCACCTTCAAAAAACAACAACATCAGCCACTCTCAAACTTGAGAACCAACCTGATTGTCTTCTTTATCAATACTAGAGTTATCTCGCTTCAAGATAAACCGCTTCTGGGATTCTTCACCTTTTTCATCTTTTAAATGTTCACAAAACCTTTGCTCTGGTCTGCCAGCAGAGTAAAACATATCAATAAAAAGAGCTTTTTCCCCCCCCTCTGTTTTCAAGTCATTTGTTAAGTGTTGCTTTTCTTTTTCCCCCACCATGGCATCCAAGTTAAAAAAGAAACTGAGAGTAAATGAACATATGGTTTTGACACTAGAACTGCTGGCTGCGAATAGGGACCTCAGAGGAAGTCGCTTCAAATGGGCTGTTAGGATACCTCTGGTGGTTCTGAAGTCAGTCTTACATTTGCTGCCCTATTAATTACACAGTAGCAGCTCACCACGATTGGAGTTTAAGGACAACTTTTAAAGTCCTGCACATAGATCATTTATAGACGTCTTTCTTTAGTTATTTTTTTATCTCCTTTGCTTCTGTTTCCCAATAAGATTGCTACAAATCCAAGGGCATGCGGTTCAAATCCCCTCACTGCTCTGCAGGAGAAAGATAGGCAGTCTCCTTTTGTACAATTACTGCCTCCAAAAACCTGCTTGAGGGTCGCCTCTCAGTCCGTTCCAACGCCATGGTACAAACAGCAACACCATCTCACACCAAATACAGGTTTATCACTTAGAAGGTCTACATGAAGTTAGCAACATCTGTATCATGGTAAGGACATCTTTTATGTCCTTCCCATCAAGACCTATCAGAATGCATCATAAAACAAGTAAAGTAAAAGCATCGTAAATTATTTCTGTCTCTCTCCTATGACTGATGCTCTAGACTGGGACACCCCGGGCTAACTCTGATATCCTTCACCAAGTCTGTCTTGTAAATCAGTTGGTTCAATAATTGGGGGAACTGGAGGTATTTAAACAACTTAATGACTGATTAGCGCAGGGAAAGTACTCTAAGCAGTTACATGCTATTGATTAGTCAATTGATTTTTCATGTCCTCTTAATCATTCTGTATTATTACAGGAAAGGGCTTCACTTCCTTGGTAATTTCCCACACTTGTCACCACGCACCACAGAATGCAATGAGTGGCTGGGGTTTCAGTTCATCCCAAAGGAAGAGCTGAAACGGTTGTCCCAGGTTTAGAAACGGTTGTAATTTATGACTCTCATTAAGGTGCCTTTGTCATGTCTGATGTATTACTTCTAAAGCCCGGTGGGTTTTTCTGTCCTCCACCGGATTCACTGTGAACTCAGCCAGGGACAAGCCACTTCCCAGGCACTGGTTTCTGTTGTTTTATATGAGTGGCTGATAATTAAGGAGATTCAACGTATGTAAAACAGCACTTTTCGAACCAAAGGGTAGGTTAGGTATAATTCACATCTTGATGAGAAGCATTACTTCATTCAACACATGTACACAAATTATAATGTGTATACATTATAATAACATAATACATCTAGAAATTATGGTTTCTAGAATAGTGCCTAAGTTTTGCAAAATGATCTCATATTTCATGCTTCAGTGACAGGGAAACATTGATATTTGTTGTAAGATGTCATCAAGTCACCTCCAAATTGTAATGACCCTGTATGTATGTTCAACAGAGTGAATCCGGCCTGATCCGAGTATGTTCTCATTGTCTCAGCTGTGTTCACACCTGTTGTTTTAGCCACTAACATGCCAATCCGTCTCCCCAAGGGTCTTCACCTCTTTCATCGATATTGTGGCCACCTATAGGGGTCCACTAATTGCAAATTTATCGATTTGTTCCCTAACTCCTAAGCAACAGAGAAAGCCTGTTAGGGCCCCTTGTAGAAGCCAAGCTCAGTCTCTCTGATTTTCTAGCCTATGGTGGGCTGGGTGCCCTTGATCCTCGGAATAAAGAGCTAAACCCCTCCACCGTTCTTGAAATCAACGTAAATGTTTCCCATCAAAACACAGTCTAATAAAATGTAAGAAGCAAGCTGCAAGTGCGAATATGACATTTTAAAATGACAGCACTAAAGGGTGAAGTGAAGGTGCTCTGTGCACTGAAGCCATTTCCTGGAGAGAAAGCAGCAGAGATAATTCAGCAAAATCACAGTACACCCCAGTTACTTATTACACTGTGAGATCTTATAAAATTATCCCGCACCATATCAGGCAGCTATAAAGAATTACAATCCCGCCCGGAATTCTTTTAAGCATCTCAGCATTTTTAAGCAATACTTCCATGTTGTCCTATGACATTTTTCAGTTGTTTGTTGTTTGGTTTTTTGTTTTTGTTTTTTTTTAACATAGCAAGTGAAATCAGAATATGGCCTTAAATACTAACGTGACAAACATGGACGGTATCAATACCCATTGGCTCTCTCCTAATAGTTCCAGTCTAGCAAATGCTAGCAAATGAAATTATTTGACTACTGTTAAATTCATGGGCTCTAAGGAGAAGGAGAAGAGTGTTGAATATACCATGGACTGTTAGGAGAATAAACAGGTTCGTCCTAAAGAGGGTGAAACTGGGCTGCTCCTCAGAGGCAAGGTTTCTCAAGCTTTGTCTGACATACTTTGGGCATGTTGCAAGGAGGGACCATTCCTTGGAGAGGGACATCATATTTGGGAGAGTGGAGGGACAGTGCAAGAGAGGAAGACCCTCAATGAGATGGATCAGTTCTGTGATTGGGGTGGTGGGAGTAAGTGTGTTGAAGACAGTGAGGTTGGCACAGGATAGAGAAGGGTTTAGGACTCTTGTCCATAAGGTCACTATGAGTCGCAAGCAACTCAGCGCCACATAACAACAAAACAAACAGCAAAAGAGAAGAGGGACAATCTCTTCCTGTATAATTGATCCAGCTTCTGAAATCTGTCCAGAGGGTCAGCTGTGAGCTTGTTCCCACTTGACAAGCACCTCGCATCAATACCATCTTTTTCGTATGTGATACTCATTGTCTATGCACTGGATTTAAACGCTCAAGCTCACTGCCTGCCAGTCAGTTCCAACCCATAACTGAGCGCCACTGGGTTTCTGAGGCTGTAAACGGAACAGGAGGAGACCCCTCATCCTGCTTCTGGGAAGTCACTGCTAAATTCAGCTGCCTTTGAGTTAGTGAGGAGTACAGTTCGAGGCAGACCAGGCCACCAGAACTCCCCTGGTGCTGGGTTAAGGCTCCTTCAAAAGTCCAAGGGGGACGGGGTAGGGGGGCAGGGAGAAAAGCGCAACAGTGAATGAATGGAAATCCAAAGTCTCTGTCAATTTTCATTAAAATTGAAATTAAAAGAAGGAGAAGGAGAAAGAAGAAAGAAGAAGGAGGAAGGAGGAGGAAGGAGGAGGAGGAGGAGGAGAAGAAGAAGAAAGTTTTTTTAAAAAAGTCCAAGAATATGGATAGGTTGATTCTGGGAATGAGGTGACTTGCTTAGTACTCTTTTTTTTTTTTTTAATTTTCTAAAAACTTTAGAGTCACTTGTTGGTGCAAGAGTTAACATGCATGTCGTTTTATGTGCCGTTGAGTTGCTTGCGACTCATAGCGACCCTATGTACAACAGCCCTAAACTGCTCTGTCCTGTGCCAATTGCACTGTCTCTGACACTCCCACCCCCATTACCCCAGTCACTGAATCAATCCACCTCACAGAGGGCCTTCCCCTCCTGCGCTGTCCCTCCAACCTCCCAAGCATGATGTCCTTCTCCAAGGACCGGTCTCTCCTCACAACATAGTTGCTGATAAAAAAATGTGACAGCTGGGGCCACTCAGATGGCCCTGGAAACAAGACCTCATTATCTACTAGCAAAAACTCACTGAAAATTCTCTGTAACTTTCTCTCCTGTTCCATCTGACACATACGAAGTGGCCATCCATCAGAACCAACTTAACAAAAATTGTTTTTCAGAAAAAAAAAATCATCTTTTAGAAGAAAAGCATCAGAGTGAGCTTTCAATGTGTGAAGCAGAGGTAGAATGTGGACAGGGACCTTATTGTCCATGTGTCTGTAGGGACCTATGCTATTAACTTAAAGGTGGCATCTGTGTGGCAGTTCAAATCCATCAGTGGGTCCACAGGAGGAAGATGGGCAATCTCCTCCTGTGCTAGTTCCTGCCTCAGAGCATCTGTGGGGAGGGTCGGCTCTGAACTGGTTCCAACTGGTGACCGTGAGGCACCTATGGCACAGGAGAGGAAATGGGATACATGGATAAATTCATAAAAGCATAAATTCATGAATGAATGAATGAATACATGAAAATGTAGCACAGCTGTTATAAACCATTAAGCTATTTTGGGGAGGATTAAACGATTCACTAAGAATTATACTCTTCAATTTTTAAGTCATTCTTCTAGGTCATATAGCACTGGTCTGTGCATTGTTGTACAGAGGTAACTCGTGGTTGCTGTGATGCTGAACACTGTGACCTTGATGTGTCAAGTGTGAGAATGGTCACCCATGGTGGACAGTGTTTGGTGGAGCTCCCCGATTAAAGCAAGCTTGGAAGCAGGAGTGGCATCCATTTCCGAAATGGCTTGCCTCCAGGAATTTTATGAACTTGGAGAAATTATGAAAGTTATGCAAGTATTCAGATCTTTCATTCATAGGGTCACTATGAGTTGTCTACGACTCAACAGAACTTAACAACAACAAAAATAATTATTAAATAAAATAGGAGAAATTGATTAGCTGGACCATAAAATTCAAATTCAGAGTGTTAGGGAAATCTTTAGGAGTAAAACTTAATTTTTGTTTAAATTGAATGAACAGAATTATATTGTGGAAAAATTGCTTTTTATAATGAGAGTATGTATCTTGGGAAGGGAAGAAATAGAAAGGCTAGCTCTTGGTTTTAGAACTTTCTTTGGAGGATCAATGTAATTTGAGTTATTTTAATATTAATTTTGAAATTTCAATTCCTTATCTTTGTGGTGCTGGCTGATATTTTCCTATTTCATTAGAGGACATATTTAGGAGCGATGTAGAAAGTGGTCAAAAGACCTTACTCTAATCAATAATGTAAACGTTATTTGAACAAGACTATGCCCTATTATTATATAAAGTGTGAAATGTGTTTTCTCAATCACCGCTTGTCACAGATCTTTTCATTCTTTTCCAATAAAGGAACAATCTAAAATATGAATGCCTTA